GGGCGGCGGCGGCGTGATAACGGCGGGAGCGGGATAACGGCGGGATCGGGATAACGGCGGGATCACGGGATCGGGATAACAACGGGATAACGGGATAACAACGGGATCGGGATAACAGCGGGATAACGGGATCGGGATAACAACGGGATAACGGGATAACAACGGGATCGGGATAACAGCGGGATAACGGGATAACAGCGGGATCGGGATAACAATGGGACTGGGATAACAGCGGGATCAGGATAACAGGATCGGAATAGCAGCGGGATCGGGATAACAACGGGATCGGGATAACAGCGGGATAACGGGATAACAGCGGGATCGGGATAACAACGGGATCGGGATAACAATGGGACTGGGATAACAGCGGGATCAGGATAACAGGATCGGAATAGCAGCGGGATCGGGATAACAACGGGATGGGGATAACGGGACAGGGATCACGGGACTGGGATAATGGGACTGGGATAACAGCAGGATCAGGACTGGGATAACAGCGGGATCAGGACTGGGATAACGAGATCAGGACTGGGATAATGGGATCGGGTCCGGGATAATGGGATCAGGTCTGGGATTGGCTCTGGGGAATGTGGGATCAGCTCTGGGATCAGCCTGGGATCCGCCCCAGGACTGGCTGGGTCACAGCTGGGGATCCCTGGGCCGGATCCCTGGAACGGATCCCTGGAACCGATCCCTGGAACCGATCCCTGGAACCAATCCCTGGGCCGGATCCCTGGGCCGGATCCCTGGAACAGATCCCTGGAACCGATCCCTGGGCCGGATCCCTGGGCCGGATCCCTGGGCCGGATCCCTCGGAGCTGGGGCAGCCAATTCAGGATCAAATCCTGACCTGCTGATCCCAGGGAATTCCTGGATCCTGAATTCCTGCGGGATCCCGCTGATCCCCGGGAATTCCCGGTTTTCCAGCTGGTGAAGTTGGCCAAGCGCCTGAAGAAGGAGAAGGTCAACGTGGACATCATCAACTTTGGGGAGGAGGTGAGAATCCCGGGAATTCCCACATTCCAGGGGGGAATTCCGGGGCTGGAAAATCCCGGCCAGATTTTTGGGATTGGGGTTGGGCCTGGGTGATTTTGAGGCTTTTTCCAAGGTTGTAATTCCAGGGAAAATCCCAATTCCCAACCTCTCCCTGCATCCCAAACCTTTCCCGTCCTCCATTTCCTGCTGGGAATTCCCTGAGCCGCTCCCAGTTGGATTTGCTGTTCCCAGATCCCTTTCCCAACGCTGCAATTCCCAAAAAATCCAAAACCCTTTCCCAAACCTCTCCGTGATGCTCCCTCGGCCTCTCCCAACATTCCCAAATCCCGTTTTTCTGTCTCCCAACATTCCCAAATCCCGTTTTTCCCTCTCCCAACATTCCCAAATCCCGTTTTCCCTCTCCCAACATTCCCAAATCCCGTTTTTTTCCTCTCCCAACATTCCCAAATCCCGTTTTTCCCCAGGAAGCCAACACGGAGAAGCTGACGGCGTTCATCACGGCTCTCCCAACATTCCCAAATCCCGTTTTTCTGTCTCCCAACATTCCCAAATCCCGTTTTTCCGTCTCCCAACATTCCCAAATCCCGTTTTTCCCCAGGAAGCCAACACGGAGAAGCTGACGGCGTTCATCACGGCTCTCCCAACATTCCCAAATCCCGTTTTTCTGTCTCCCAACATTCCCAAATCCCGTTTTTCCCCTCCCAACATTCCCAAATCCCGTTTTTTTCCTCTCCCAACATTCCCAAATCCCGTTTTTCTGTCTCCCAACATTCCCAAATCCCGTTTTCCCTCTCCCAACATTCCCAAATCCCGTTTTTTTCCTCTCCCAACATTCCCAAATCCCGTTTTTCTGTCTCCCAACATTCCCAAATCCCGTTTTTCTGTCTCCCAACATTCCCAAATCCCGTTTTCCCCAGGAAGCCAACACGGAGAAGCTGACGGCGTTCATCACGGCTCTCCCAACATTCCCAAATCCCGTTTTTCCCTCTCCCAACATTCCCAAATCCCGTTTTTTTTCACTCCCAACATTCCCAAATCCCGTTTTTCCCTCTCCCAACATTCCCAAATCCCGTTTTTCTGTCTCCCAACATTCCCAAATCCCGTTTTTCCCCAGGAAGCCAACACGGAGAAGCTGACGGCGTTCATCACGGCTCTCCCAACATTCCCAAATCCCGTTTTTCCCCAGGAAGCCAACACGGAGAAGCTGACGGCGTTCATCACGGCTCTCAACGGCAAGGACGGCAGCGGCTCCCACCTGGTGACGGTGCCGCCGGGGCCCAGCCTGGCCGACGCCCTCATCAGCTCCCCGGTGCTGGCCGGCGAGGGCGGCGCCGTGCTCGGCCTCGGAGCCTCCGACTTCGAGTTCGGCGTCGATCCCAGCGCCGATCCCGAGCTCGCGCTGGTACGGAGCCCGGGATTGCCGGGGATTCGCCAGGGATCGGGAATTGCGGTTGGGAATTGGAAGAAATCCCAGATTTGGTTCCTTTGTCGCTGACCCCGCGTTCCCCGGGGATCGGGAATTGCAGTTGGGAATTTCAGTTGGGAATTGGAGGAAATCCCAGATTTGGTTCCTCCATCACCCCTCGTTCCCCAGGGATCGGGAATTTCAGTTGGGAATTTCAGTTGGGAATTGGAGGAAATCCCAGATTTGGTTCCTCCATCGCTGACCCCACATTTCCCAGGGATCGGGAATTTCAGTTGGGAATTTCAGTTGGGAATTGGACCCTGAGGAAATCCCAGATTTGGTTCCTCCATCACCCCTCGTTCCCCAGGGATCGGGAATTTCAGTTGGGAATTTCAGTTGGGAATTGGACCTTGGGACCCCGAGGAAATCCCAGATTTGGTTCCTCCGTCACTGACCCCTCGTTCCCAGGGATCGGGAATTTGAGTTGGGAATTGGACTTTGGTTCCTCTGCCACTGACCCCACGTTCCCCAGGGATTGGGAATTTCACTTGGGAATTGCAGTTGGGAATTGGAGGAAATCCCAGATTCGGTTCCTCCGTCACCGACGCCGCGTTCCCCAGGGATTGGGGAGTTGCCAGCGTCGGGATCCCGTCGATCCCAAGCCCCTCCTGGGAGCTGATTCCCGGCTTTTCCCGGGGTTTTCCAGGCGCTCCGGGTGTCCATGGAGGAGCAGCGGCAGCGGCAGGAGGAGGAGGCGCGCAGGGCGGCCGCGGCCTCGGCGGCAGAGGCCGGGATCGGAGCCACCGGAGGGGACGGTGAGGGAACGGCGGGATTGGGAATGGTGGGATTGGGAATGGTGGGATTTATTGGATTGGGAATGGGATTGAGGGGGTTGGGAATGGGATTTATTGGATTGGGAATGGGATTGATGGGATGGGAATGGGATTGAGGGGTTGGGAATGGGATTTATTGGATTGGGAATGGGATTGATGGGATGGGAATGGGATTGAGGGGGTTGGGAGTGGGATTGATGGGATGGGAATGGGATTTATTGGATGGGGAATGGGATTGAGGGGATTTGGAATGGGATTGGGAACGAGGAGAACTGAAAACCAGGATGGGCTTGGAGAGAAATCCTTCCCTGGGAGGGTGGGGCTGCCCATTCCCCAAATCCCATTCCCTGACTCCCATTCCCTGGATCCCATTCCCCAAATCCCATTCCCATTCCCCGGATCCTGTTCCCATTCCCCATTCCCATTCCCCATTCCCACTCCCCAAATCCCATTCCCTGGATCCCATTCCCCAAATCCCATTCCCATTCCCTGGATCCCATTCCCCATTCCCATTCCCCGAATCCCATTCCCCAAACCCCATTCCCTGACTCCCATTCCCCCGATCCCATTCCCCGGATCCCGTTCCCCGGATCCCATTCCCCGGATCCCATTCCCTGACTCCCGTTCCCCGGCTCCCGTTCCCGGGCAGAGTCGGACGAGGCTCTGCTCAAGATGACCATGGGGCCGCCGGAGTTTGGCCGCGCGGGGCTGCCGGACCTGAGCTCCATGAGCGAGGAGGAGCAGATCGCCTACGCCATGCAGATGTCCCTGCAGGGCGCCGGTGCGTGCCGGGAAAACTGTGGGAAAACCACGGGAAAACCGCGGGAGAACAGCGGGAAAACCGCGGGAAAACAGTGGGAAAAACATGGGAAAACCACGGGAAAACTGTGGGAAAACCATGGGAAAATCGTGGGGAAAGCCACGGGAAAACCCCCGGGAAAACCACGGGAAAATTGCGGGAAAACTGTGGGAAAATCGTGGGGAAAACCCCAGGAAAACCTCTGGGAAAATCGTGGGGAAAACCTTGGGAAAACCACGGGAGAACCACGGGAAAACTGGGAAAACCGTGGGAAAATCGTGAGGAAAACCCTGGGAAAACCCCGGGAAAACCCCCAGGAAAACCCCAGGAAAACCCCAGGAAAACCTCCGGGAAAACCTCCGGGAAAACCGCGGGAAAACCCCCGGGAAAATTGTGGGGAAAACCCCTGGGAAAAAACTGGGAAAACCATGGGGAAAACCATGGGAAAACCACAGGAAAAACACGGGAAAACCGCGGGAATCGCGGCCTGGCTGCTCCCAGGGGGATTTTCCATGGATTTCTGGGGTGGGGTTGGGGGAGTTTTCCCAAGTGGAGGTGAAGAAAATCCTTGGGAAAACCCCGGGAAAACCTCGGGAAACCCTCGGGAAAGCCTCTGGAATGGCTGCCTGGCTGCTCCCGGGGTTTTTCCATGGATTTCTGGGATTGCAGAGTTTGCCCAGGCTGAGGCGGCCGAGGTGGACAGCGGAGCCGCCATGGACACGTCCGAGCCCGCCAAGGTCAGGGAATTCCCGCAATTCCCAGCTCATTCCGGCACGTCCCAACATTCCCGGCATTCCCGTCAATCCCATCCCGTCATTCCCATCGTTCCCATCGTTCCCATTGTGTCATTCCCATAAATCCCATCCCGTCATTCCCATCGTTCCCATC